TATATATATATATATCTGAATAATATAAACATGTTAAGATAGTCCATGTCATTCATTTCACTGACTAAATTATCTAACAAAGTAGAGAAACCATGATTTAAGATGCAATAACATTTGATTGAATAAACATAAAAACAATTGATGTATTTGGTCTAAAAAAAATAAAATTATTACTCTAAACATGAGTACTCATTTGGTATTAGTTGGCTTGCCTTCAATGTTCTTACACCTTTAGATTTCATCTCATACAGTTTTATGTCTATAATAATAAAGAAAATATAATTTCTTAATCATATTGTTAAATTATGCTTAATTAATCTTTTATATAATTATATTATTTTAATTATTGATTGAAATTTTTCATTTTTCATTTAAAACCTTCTCAATCATTATTATTCCCATTAATTTATCATTGATTTGGCTCCTGTGCGTCTCAACACTAGAACATCTTTTGATCTGGAGTCAAGCTTCCGTAAAATCGCAAAATTGGTGCTTTGGTCCAAATGTTGGGTGGTTGCTATAGCATCTGGGTGCTAGGTTTAGGTCCTTGGGTGCCCGAGCCCTCCAATGTGTCCTACGCTTAATCTTTCGCTCAAACCGCTCCATATTTGTTTATCCTTTTCGATCGCCCCTGGGAAATCCAGAAAAAAAAAAAAATTGCTGCTCGTCAAATTACTCCTTGTTTCTACATTAACAAATGTACTTAAATTAGAGCAGTGAATTTCTCAAAATCAAGCGAAAGTAGTATGAAAAATGCAAGATCTACTTGAGAAAACATTGCTAAAATCTCACATTTAAGTTGTCTTCCTTTTTATTGTATTAATGATAGAAAAATTGGTGAAAAAGGAAAATTATGGTAATAAGTCAAAATTTAATTCTAACTCATCATCTTTCTCTAGTAGGCTCTGCAATTGCATTCAAATCTAGTTGTTTAGGCAGTGTCTTGAGTTGTTTGGCATTGGTTTGCAGGTTTGTATTCAAATATGGTGCAAGTTTTGATAAGTTGGGCTAAGTCAAATGGCTAATGGCTGTGTTTGGTAGCAAGTTGTGTTGAATAGATTCTTCCTTGTGCTCTTAACTCTTCTGTCTTTCAAGCTTTTCTTTCAAGCTATGACATGGCATGTCTGTTAGAGCTGAACAATATAAACCTCCAAATTAATAAATTATTCCTTTCTTTAAGCGCTTTATTAAATTGCCGAATATGATGGAACTTCGTCTTCGTAAAATAGCATCAAAACTAGAAAAGGTTTTCTACATCATATGCAAGTTATATTTTCATGTGAACTTTGTCCTAGGTTGTGATATGAAGCATAATTTATATAAATACAATGGCCGCATTTTAACTTAATTTTACTATTATCCTTAAACAAGAAGAAAATTCATTCCACGCACAAATGGACCCTCCCTGGATCGAACATCCGGTATTGGATATACAGTTAGACATCCAATCCATTTACGGCTTTACTTTTGAAAGAATATGAAATGGGACCCTTCAAGCGCACATGTTTGGGTTGAATTTATCTAAAAACAATGAATCTCTACATTGCCCTCCATCCACTTCAACCAGATCACACCTTTTATTGATATAAGCCATTTTGAAGGCAAATCTCTATTAATCAGAGATGAAATCCTGGATGGAAATGCAAAAATTCTTTCATTTTGAGTCCACTACAGAGATGCCTTGCTATCTTATTGCATCAGAATTTAGTTTGACATGCCTTTCATTGCAACTATGAATTTTTTTATCAATTAAATTTGCTCAACGTCTCTATCTTATGATAAAGATTGAATCTTATGTCGACTAATGCTTTGTCTTTTTAATTTCTACTCACATTACTCATTTAATACCTATAAGTTATCTTGCAAATTTGGCTTGAGTGCTGTTTTCTGTAATTTGAGCATTTTGTAGTTCTGTTAGGAGAAACCAAAAAATTTTCAATCCAATGTTCATGTTAAACTGTTTTTCAGGCAATATTTCAACGTTATCCTCAGCCTGATAAGGAGTATCAGTCATTTTCCCTTATATACAAGGACAGATCCTTAGATTTGGTCAGTATATTTATTCTACTCATGTTATTGCGGTTGGTCATGTGCTTTTATTTGGGCTTCTTTAGTCCCGTTTTTTTTACTTTATTTTTATCCCGGATATTGTCAGCAATTGCTTCAAGTTTATCTTTCCATAATGTTCAATTTCTTCTTCTTGTCCTATATATTATGACAGATATGCAAGGACAAGGATGAAGCGGAAGTATGGTTTGTTGGTTTGAAGGCATTGATTTCATGTAGAAACTACCTAAAGAGATTGGAGTCAAATGGGGGCAGACTATCTGATTGTAGTAGTTCAAAGTCAATTTACAGACAGTCTCCATTAGACCTACCCTCTGTTAGTAGTACATTCCGTCTTTTTAGAACATTTCATGGTTCAGTGACAGAAGATTTTCTCCTTATAGAATCTTTGATAATTTTGCATGTTTTCCTTCTTGTTTCCATTTTCAGGACCCTGAAGATAGACAGCCAGTTGGCCTTGCAGCTGAGAAACCTCCAGTGGATGGTTTCGGAAGTGTGTTTACTGATGTTATTCTATATACCACACACAAGGGTTCTTTTCATTTTGATTCAGTCAGTACCTCACTGACTTCAGCGACATCTGCAGACAACTCAAATGGCCGCTGTTCAACATCTGAAAATTTTAGGGCGAGTTTATCTAGTGCTGTAAGCTCTTCAAGTCATGGATCAGGCCAGGGGGATTTTGATGCATTAGGAGATGCTTTTATTTGGGGAGAGTTTATCGGTGATGGGTTGCTTGGCTGTCATATCCAAAAAGGAGGCAATTTGCTCAGTTCTAAATGCAACACTTCTTTGCCGAAAGCCTTGGAATCACCCGTTGTTCTTGATGTAAAAAAAATTGTTTGTGGTAGCAAACATGCAGCGTTAGTTACCAGGCAAGGAGAGGTCTTTACTTGGGGTGAAGAATTCGGGGGCAGATTGGGGCATGCAATACAAGCCGATGTTTCGCAACCAAAACTCATCAATGCTTTGAGTGGCATGAATGTTGAGTTTGTGGCATGCGGTGAGTATCATACTTGTGCGGTAACATCATCTGGAGATCTCTATACATGGGGCGATGGTGTTTACAATTCCGGTCTACTTGGGCATGGGAGCGAGGCTAGTCATTTGGTTCCGAAGCTTTTGACTGCTCAGATGGCAGCTTTGCATGTCTCGTCAGTGTCTTGTGGACCATGGCACACAGCTGTTGTTACATCTTTGGGTCAGCTCTTCACATTTGGTGATGGAGCATTTGGTGCTTTGGGTCATGGAGACCGTATGAGCACAAATGTACCAAGAGAAGTGGAAGCTTTAATAGGTCTGCGAACAATCAGCACGGCTTGTGGTGTTTGGCACACTGCTGCAGTTGTGGAGATGGAATCACAATCTGCGGATTCTGGCAGTTATGTCTCCAGAAAATTGTTCACATGGGGAGATGCAGATCAAGGCCGTCTTGGACATGAAGACAAAGAGCACAGGCTTATTCCAGCATGTGTTGCTTCCTTGACTGAGCCAAATATTTGTCAGGTGGCCTGTGGACATGATATGACAGTTGTGCTTGCTGCTTCTGGAAGAGTATATACTATGGGAAGTACCATTTATGGACAGCTAGGGGACCGACGAGCTAATGGAATTACTCCCACAGTTGTGGAAGGTAAACTTTATGATAGCTTTGTTGAAGAGATATCATGTGGTTCTCACCATGTTGCTGTGCGGACCTCAAAAAGTGAAGTCTACACCTGGGGCAAGGGTGAAAATGGCCAGCTCGGCCATGGAGATTATGTTAACCGTGACAGGCCTACGCTTGTTGAAGTCTTGAAAGATAAGCAAGTGAAGAGCGTTGCTTGTGGTTTAAATTTCACTGCTGTTATTTGTCTTCATAAAGGGGTTTCAAGTGTTGATCAATCTTTATGTTTTGGTTGTCATCTTCCATTTGGTTTCAGAAGAAAACGCCACAATTGCTACAACTGTGGTAAAGTCTTTTGCAAACCTTGCACCTGCAGAAAGTCTATCAGAGCTGCCTTAGCACCAAACATGCACGTGCCATATCGTGTGTGTGATATTTGCTATAACAAGCTAAGGAAGTCCTTAGAGTCTGGAACTCATTCTCATGTTTTAAAGCAGCAAAATGCAAGTGAAACTCACATATCTACTCAGCTGGCTGAGGAGACCGTTGTTTCGAGAGTCTCTTCAGCTGACTCCTTTAAAGGAGAAAGTAGGCAATCAAGGCAGGGTGAGAGATTGGAAAGCAATCATAACCCAATGTCCCTTATTCCGAATGAATGTATTCGAAGAGAAAACATGCAGATGCCAAACTCTCAAAATATTATGATCAGGTCTCCAATGAATATATGCTCTGCTTCTATTCATGGCACAAGGATAGTTTGTAGGCCAACCATTCCACTTGGAGGTTCCTTAATTTCATTGCCCCCAAGATCCATTTCAACTGGTTTAGTATCAGCTGAAGTGACTACTGATGAATTGAAAAAGACAAATGAATGCTTAAAAGAGGAGGTTGCTCAGTTGAAGTTGCAGGTAATAATGTAAGAGCATATATATATATATATATATTTGCTGTATGGAATGTTCTCGCTTTGCCAGGGTTTCACCTTACGGCGAACCCTAGCCTCTGCTACGGCATTTGTTCGCTCTGTTTTTGAAAATCTGTTTTTGAAAAGCTTTGTCGAGTTGCTCGCGGCCCCGATCGCGGTTCGTCGAGCTTCTCTTTCGCGAGCTTCGACGATGTTGATTTCGCACTCGTAGACGACGAATCATCTCGCTCTGCTATGGTTTTGCCTCATGGCAAACCCTAGGCCCTACTACGGCATTTTTTCGCTCTATCTTTTAAAAGCTTCGTCGAGCTGCTCGCGCCCCGATCGCGATTCGTCGAGCTTCTCTTTCGCGAGCTTCGACGATGTTGATTTCGCACTCGTAGACGACGACGAACGTTGCCTCTGCTTTCGTCGTCTGCTTCTGCGACGTTTTCGTGCCGCTTTCTACGCGCGGCCGTCTTGCAGTCAAGTTGCGATAGTTTTGCGCAGTCGGCAACGTTCCTCTTGTGCGCAGCTCTCCAGACGAACCGAGCCCGACAGCGCCAACAGCTTCCTCGCTTATCTTGTGAGAGGGATGGCATCGACGCTCTGTTCCTATGCAAATGCCCTTACCGGCGACTTGTCTACGACTTGCCTATTTCCTATTTCTGCTCGTGCCCCTCCTCCAGGTTCAGAGTCTGCTTTTGCTATTAGTAAGTCCTGCATTGTTCCACAATCGTACAACGAGGCTATTGAAGGTGGCGGTGACCACACTTTTCTGAATTCTTTTCTTTTTTACCGAATGCAATGTTTATTTGCACTGATAAATGCTTGCCTCTCCCACCTCCAAGCGAACAAACATCACAAGTATGACCTTGGTTTCGGATGAAAGGACTTTATTATCATAATTATCATTAAATTATCACAACTATTTTATGTCAAATTTATAACTTTTCTTCAATTCATCCTTGTTGAGTGACAAGTGGAATAACTCTTTTTGCTTAGCTTTTAGCTATTTCAACATTGACCTATAAATTTTTTTTCTTGAACTTGCTATATTAATTCTATCTTGTCAATTTACCTTGCATCGCATATTTTACTTTCATCTTTCATTGTACTTAAATGCAAGACATAACAAATAGGTTTTACTCTCATTGTATCATTAATTACTTCATTTCTTGCTCTACCATCCTTAACTTTGACACATATCAATCTTAAAACTCTCTTTTCAATCACATTAACTTTGATATCACTTCTTGGATCCATATAATTCCTTTTTTATAAAATTTAGTTTCACGTTGTCATGACGTTATGATAACACATAAATTTTCAAAGCTTTGCCACATATCAACATCTTATTTTTTTTTATATAGAAATATCTTATGATAAGATTCCGGGGGAAGTACTTTCGAGAGTTCTAGAAAAGAAATGTGTTGATATTTGCCTACATTCAAGTCATTAAAGATATGTATACTAGAGTTGTTATTTATGTTCGAACACAAGAAGGATTGACCAAATATTTTCTTATTTCAATTGGATTATGCCAGATATTGGTTTTAAGTCCATATCTTTTTGTTTTAGTTGTGGATGTTCTTGTTTACATGTACAAGAGGATGTACCTTGGTGTATGCTTTTAGCAGATGTACCCTTCTTGTGGATAAGGCTGGAGATAGAGAGTATAGAAAAAACTTGAATTTTGGAGGTCAACTTTAGAGGCTAAAGGCTTTTGTATGTGTAGATCTAAATCTGAATAAATGAAATATGAAGGTCAACTTGAATTATAGGGGTCATCTCCTAGTGGCAGGGTTGTAGTAATGAGTGATCATGTCATTAAAAGGAGTGAACGTTTTAGATATCGCAAGTCTATTATTCAATTTGATAGTGATATAGATAGGGATATTATTAGTGGAATTCAAGTTGAATTGTTGAAGTGGAGGGATGCATTGGGCCTACTGTGTAATAGAAAAGTTCTGCTTAGACTTGAGTGAAAATTTTATAAGATGGTGGTTAGACCTGCAATGCTTTATGGTGCAGAATGTCGGCTTGTAAAAGAAGCATAAAATTAAGTATTGTTGAGATGAGAATGCCCGGGTGGATGAGTGGCTTTACACTTAGAGACCAATTATGAAACAAATATATTCGTGAAAGGGTTGGAGTAGCTCTAGTTGAAGACAAGATTAGATAGATTCACCTTATATGGTTTGGTCACATTAAACGTAGACCAACTGATGATCTTGTTATGAGGGTAGATGTTTTAGATTTGACTTATGTTAAAAAAGGTAGAGGTAGACCTAAAAGGACTTGGGTATGTTGTATTAAATATGATCTTAATTTATTAGAGCTAAATGAAAATGTGACACTCAATAGGACACAATGGGGAAAAAAATATTCATTTAACCTACCCCATTTAGTGGGATAAAGGCTTGTTGCTGTATGATTTTTCAAAGACACCACCCATTTTGCTACTTTAATTTAACTCTATATATACCCTGATCGATATTCATTTCTTTTACATAATTGATCCAGAGTACTTAAAATTATCATATATAATATTACTTGCAAATATCATATAATAGATGTGAAACTCGAAGTATCTTTTTAAACATTTTCATAATTCATAATCAACACAAAAAAGATATGACTTTAATGTTTGTTGCATGTTGGAAGATTCATGATGGTATAGAATGTTTATCATCTTAAAATTGAATGAAAATCCCGTATAAATTATGATAAATAAAGAGCCCCTCATAGGGGACATGTGACTTTTTCTGTATAAAATTCAAGAAGGTGAAGAATCACTAATCATAGTTCGGAAGAAATGATTCTACCAATGTGTGTTCTTTATTGTAAATGATACTCTTCCCCACAATAGAATAAAGTGTTAATGCAATTTAGCATAACAGTTGTGGAAGATATCTTAAATGTTTGAAGTAGAGGTCTTGATATGCTTGAGTTGTCATGGAGTGATATTAGGTGGTCATTTGATTGCCCTTCTTAGGTATGCATTGAATGTGATTGACTGCCAATTTTGGGATAATTGACTCGGTTTTTCTCCTTATGGAAGTGTAGACCAATGAATTGAAGATGTGTATTAGTGGCTAGTAGATGTCAGGCGTTGGTAGGCTTCAAATGAAAATTGATTATGAATGTCGAGCATTGGGCAATGGTTCAATAAAGCAAGTGTTGGACGTTAGTAGTTGGCAGTTTTTAAACACTATTAAGGGTCGGGCAGCTTATAAGAATGTAGTCTCACCGCTTGAAAAACACATTTCGACATCTTATCTAAAAACATGACAGGGTTCTTACACTAAATACAAGTCGCGGGTCGTCCGCAGGTCGTATTTTAAGATAAGTTGCTTATCCAGATAAGCACAAGCTGTCACAAACGCACCATAAATGTATAATAATGATGATGATTGATTTAGAACTTAATATATTGAGAATTGGTCAATAGTTTACTCTGCAATTTATTTTAAAAGGGGAAATTGACTATTAGGAAGGCGGTTAACATTGGTAGCTAATAAATATCAAAGATTGTAGGCGTAAGATGGTAGGTTTTAGCATTAGGTGGCAATGAGCATAGAAACTAATCGACAACAAACATTAACATTAGGAGTTAGCGAGCGTTGGGTGATGATGAGTGTTTTTTTTTGGGCTCGATGGCTAGAGTCAGATGTTGATGGTTAAAGTTATGGAAATTTGAAATTCACGAATTCTCTCCACAAAAGCACTTTTAAGGGTTTCAAGAAATATACTTTTAAGGGTTTCATGAAATATATTAAGAAATTAAGCCTACACTAGGTTGTTAGTATGGGGCGCCTGTGATAGGATAAGGTCTGAGTAATTATCAAGAATTGTTAATATATTCTAGGTGGTTTGATAGTATTATTTTTTTTTTATTTTAGCCTTTCTCTAAAATGACTATTACACAAATAATCAATTAAATTTATTCAAAAACACGCATCTTCATTTCTCTTAGAAGGATACTTCATAGATTTTAATAGATTGAAAGTTACCTCCTGATTATTTACTCTCATTGTTAATTCATTTTTTTGCACATCTGTCATTGCTCGTTCAGTAGCCAGAAAAGACCTATTTAATTTTTTTATCTTCTTCCATGTCTAATACAATGAAATCAATATGGAAGATAAATTTATCCACTTTAATAAGAACATCTTTATAACCTCTTTTGATAAGTGATCGATTGATCAGCAAGTTGAAGGGTTACAACAATAGAAGACACGCATCTTCATTTCCCTAAGAAGGAAACTTCATAGATTTTAATAGATTGAAAGTTACCTCCTGATCATTTACTCTCATTGTTAATTCATTTTTCTGCACATCTATCATTGCTCATCCAGTAGCCAGAAAAGGCCTACCTAATATGATGAGAATTTTTTTATCTTCCTCCATGCCTAATATAATGAAATAAACAAGGAAGATAAATTTATCCACTTTAACAAGAACATCTTTTATAACCTCTTTTAGATAAGTGATCGATTGATCGGTCAATTGAAGGGTTACAGTAATAGAAGACTCTTCTCCTAATCTAACATTTTGAAGGCAGATAATGACATATGGTTTATACTTGCTTCAAGTTCACATAAAGTTTTGTCATAAAATATTTCTCCAATTGCATAAGGAATAATAAAGCTCCCGGGATTCTTAAGTTTTTAAGGAAGTTTTTTCTGAATGATAGTGTTGCACTCATCATTGTGTGCAACTGTCTCATAATCTCAAAACTTTCTCTTTTTGTTGAGGATGTCTTTCATGAACTTTACATAGCTAGCATTTGCTCCAGAGCCTCAGCAAAAGGAATATTAATTTTTAGCTACTTAAAAACTTTGAAAAATCTCGAAAATTGTTGATCTAGTTTTTGTTGTTACAGTCTTTGAGGAAAAAAGGGTGGAGGTTTTTCTAAGTTAATCCGAGTTGGTGAAACGAGTTTATCTACTCTTTGGGATTTTTTTTCCTTAGGTTTTTCAAGCTTTGAATGCTCTTTCT